GTCCCAATTCCCACACCCCCCCACCCCCACCTCTGCCATTCTCCCCATCTGGATCATTGACCCAATGTTAAAAATGCAGAGCCTTGAAACAAATCTGTAACACAAGCCCAAAGGGACAAGATGCATTTGTTCATCCTTTAACTGAACCAAGTGCTAAGTTTTAAACTTAAGTTTTGTTTTAAGTAACTTAGTATATTAGTTCAAATTAAAATTGAACTTATAAATTTTCTGAATGTACCTAACTAGAATCTAGGTATTCTCCTAAATTTAGACAGGATCTTTCATATTCCCACTTTGGGCAGGATATAGTAACAGTTCTTTTTGAAAACATACCATTTACCTTTACAATGTTTTTTAAAGAGCAGGAAACAGTTGTGTAATAAGAGATGAAAACGGAGACTGCTAAGCAGGATTGTTACTGTTGTAAGTGTTCAGAGTCCAGGTGCATGTTCTCTGATCCACAATTTCATTGTTAGTGAATTCATAGCAAAACTAGTTATCCAAATGGAAGTTTTTAAATAGGGTTTTATTTTATTTCCGAATTCTTATATTTAGGCAAAATGTTGTTCTATAAATTGTGGTTGATTGATAGCCAGATGCCTACATAAAATCAAACACTTTAAATAAATACACGCTAGCTGTCCTAGCTAGAGGCAAATTTCCTGTCACTTGCTCATTTTTCTATAAAAACTATGTTTCTTATCTGAAAAGTAGTACTTGGTCTTATTTTAATGATCATTTTGTTTTCCCCCCTCAGTGTATTCCACAACAGAAAAACGACAGTGACTGTGGAGTCTTTGTGCTCCAGGTAATGAAATACTTTTTTTCCCCAGAATTTACTGTGTGAATTACATTTGTTGGGTTTAGAGAGGCAAGATAGGAGTCCCCGTGATGTGTACACTGTACTAGTTACAGTTAACAGGTTACTTTTCCTTCCTCCTTTTTTATGTTAAGGAGCAGTAGTTTCTATATTTTCAGATGTTACTGCTTGGAAGACCACCTTTGAAGGCCAAGAATGAATAATTGATATCTTCAACATCTTATCAGAGGTCATTAGTAAGCCACACGAGAGGCTGCTTTGAATTTGTCCTTATCATAGACCTTTGGCATGTGCAGAATCAACTGTTTATTTTTAACCATTGGCAAATGGTCTTTTAGCCACAGAGCAAAAACTCTTAGATTTTAAATAATGGCCACATTGAAGGGCTGTGCTTTTTTTATACTTAGGTTCCCTTAGTGGTCAAAAGGCTATTGAAAAATTTTTTATACATTGGGCTGGTACATAACTCCCCATGCCATTTATGTGTTTCTGGGACCTTTGCAGTACTGCAAGTGCCTCGCCTTAGAGCAGCCTTTCCAGTTTTCCCAAGAAGACATGCCCCGAGTACGGAAGAGGATTTACAAAGAGCTGTGTGAGTGCCGGCTCATGGACTAAAACTCAGCAAGGCTGGGAAGTCTGACCAAGTTGCAGCAAATGGTTTGTTACTTGAATCTCCAAACACTTATTTGAATTTTTACAGATATTTCAGATCAGTGGTATTGGGCCACTGTTATTACCTCAAGTTTATTTTTAGCGCTTATTCATTTCTCTAGCTACCATGTACTATTTTTTAATGTTCGGTTTGGTTTCAGTTTTAACTTTATGGATTCCATGTGTTTCCCCCACCCCATATTTAATATTTATTATCCAAATACAGCATGCATATAGACAGAGCATGCAGTGCAGAGTATTAAAAAAAAAGCCTAGTAGATTTGGTGCAGCTTTTGAACTTAGTTAGATGTGAACTGAATACAGGTTTAAAATTTAATCCCAGAACCTAAAACTGTGGGATGTTTTTGATACAATATAACTCTGAAAGTATTAAGTGTTCCCTGGGCATAAAAGGTAGCTAGGAGTTGTTTTGACAAATCCAGTCCTGTCTTCCTTTTACCAGCAGTACTTTTTGCTGACTTCCCTGAGTCTTAGATTGTGAGTTGCATTCCTTTTGAAGGGTGAGAAGGAAGTGGCCATAAACTAACTGGTGTGTTCTATATATGAAGGCACATTTAAGAATTATAATAAATGCCTAAGATTTATAAAGGTTTTTGCTGGAACATTGAATTCCTGGATTTTTGTTTTTGACCCATTAAAAAACTTAGTACCTATCAAACAAATGGTCAAACAAATGAGAACTCTGCCTAACAGTAATTTACAAGTTGACACTCCCCTTATCTTCCTTAAGAAATTAAAATTTGCCAAATACCTTTCTATTTCGAGGGTACAATACAAACATTTAAAGTGAAGACTGGCTTCAGGTCTTTTGCAGGTGTTACTAATTTTTTCCCCCTCTTATCTCTTTAGTGATCTCAGGGACGTCCGGGGCTCCTCATTTGGCCTTTGCTTGACCCACCCTGAGACTCTAGCACCGAAGTCCTGTTTTTGCTCCTCTGAGCCTCAGCTTCTGCAGAAAGGCAGAAGTGGTCCTGTCCTTACACTTAGCTGCATTAGAGTTAATGTCATGGGTCTTGCATCTTTAATCTAGCCTTTTGTGGTATTTGAAAGGAAATAAAAGATGCATGTTAGACCTCCCAATTACCTGTTCTGAACTGGGCAGGAAAAACAACAGATACAATAAGAAACCTAGAAGCTTGTATAGAAAAATACCAAGAAAATGGCTGAAGGCATTTGGGATCTATGCCTAGTTAGGTGTTAAAGATAAAAAGCTAAAATGTGCAGTTTAACTTGGCCATGAGGTAAGGCTGACTGCCAGCAGGTGAGGGTGGAGTCAGACGTGTTTACATGCAGGGTTCCCTCCCCAGACATTCCAAGCACCAATGCCAGTGTTTACATTGTAAACAGCCCCAGCACTTGCCTAAGTCCCCCAGACTCAAACTCCTTAGTATAAAACCAGGTCAGTATTTATTGTGCTTCAAGTAGTTAAAAAGACTGAGTGTAGAGGTACTTTATGCTGCTATAGATACGGTTGTGTCTGCATTATGAAAGATGACAATTTAAAATGGGGGGGATATCTTCTTGAGGGTTTCAGTTTTCAGACAAGGATGCAAAATGAGATTTTTCAAATATGTATGCGATACTTTTGCCTTTTTTTTTTTTTTTTTGGTAGCTATATAAAGTAGCCAGTAACTAGGCTATTGACTCAAAATGTCTTAAACTTTAGAGCTTCAAGTCTCACTTCCTTACTGATAGAACTAGGCATACAGAAGAGACAGAACTGTGTTCTGGCCAGAATCTTAATGCCCAAAGCTTGACTTGCCATTTCCTCCAATCTGAGAAATGGCCATCATCTCAGCATTCAGGCTTGCAGGGATGTTCACAGGGAACCTAAAGTGAGCTGTTCAAGTCCAGTCTTTCATTCACTTCCAGCTATAAGGACACTTTGAGGTGCATTGCTCAGCATGCTTTAGCCTAAATTACAAATATTTTAAATCTGGTTAAAATGTTTCTCTCCATTCATGAAACTTGGTTTTGACACAGTCACTTTTCCCCTTCTTGTGATAAACCTCTCTTTAGCCCAAGCCCTACATTAGAGAATGGCCTTTGTCCTGATGTTTGTCATAATTGCTTCCTTGCAACAAAGACATTTTTGAAATACAGTCTGTGCTGTTGGTGGAAGAGATAGGCATTGTTTTACTGTCACTAGCTTGGCACTGAATTCTTGTCCACACGGTGGGCAGACCTTAGGCTTTTGGGGTTGAGTGCAGGCCTTGTACAGACTAAAAGCTACTTATGATGTGCCTTCAACAAGATGCCTAGTTCTCTCCATCAGCAAACTTACCCGTCTGTCGTTGCTTCTTTCCAGTGATTTTCTTTCCTTTTGTTAAATTTATAGCAATGAAATATAGATTTCATTCATCTTTAGTTAAGAGCTGTCAAGAACTGTAGAGAACCAACCTTATCTTAAGTAAGGGAACCTCCTAGGGGAAAAGCAGCACTTGCTCCCAATAGTCCCTAAAACCCTTTTTTGGCATTGCATTTTATTTTCTAGTTATCATTAAATACAAGTAACACTGGTCATCCTGAATTCATAGTTGAAACAAAACAACAGCAGACCTAACTGGGACACAGCCAGCACTAGCCTAAGTTGATTCACCCCTTTTCTCCACAACTGTGGTTCACTGGGTTATGAGAGAGAACTGGGAGCTCTGGGTGGATCAGACCCTTCAGGCAAGAAACAGTGGATTAATAGTGTGAATTAGATATATTAACTGTCTGCTCTGCTTAGTGATGTTAACAAAACAAACTAGCCCTGGCCAGTGTGGCTGTCGGTTGGACGTCGTCCCGCAGACTGCAAGGTTGTGGTTTGATTCCTGGTCAGGGCACATGTCTGGGTTGCAGGTTCTGTCCACAGTCAGGGTGTGTGCAGAAAGCAGCCAGTCGATGTTTCTCTCTCATATCAGTGTTTCTCTCCCTCTCCTCCCTCTCTGCCCCCCTCTCTAAAATAAAAAAATAATAATAATAAAAAAACCAAACTAATCTGCAGTTACGAAGCACATACTTTATGTGCTGGGCTCTGCCAACTGACCTGTAGACAATTAAGACCTAGGGAATACCATCAGAGAAGTGCTAATTGTATTTGGGTATTACAAAAGCAGACCTAGACAAGCTGTTCACTTAAGGGGTACCTTTTGGTCAGAAAATGAATTTGTTTAAAGGTTGTGATCATGTAAAGTGACTCAAACCTTCTAGCAAAAATATTTTTTGAAAAAAATAAACTAAATGCCTTTATAAATGTGTGTTCTTTTGTACTGGATAATAGGTACTGTTTGGTGAGTAATGATTTTTTCCCAGTAACATTCCAGTCATGATACGGCTTATTTATGAACAGTGACCAGTGCAGGCTCCAAGCAGCCTGCCCTTAAACAGTGCTATCCAATAGAATTTTCTGCGGTGATGAAATGTTCTGTATTTGCATCCACTACAGTAGCCAGTAGTCACATGTGAGCATTTGAAATGTGGCTAATGTAAATGAGAAACTGAATGTTTTAATTTAATTAGCTCCATGTGGCTAGTGACTGACATATTAGGTAACTCAGAATGGACATGCAAATTCTGTACATTATTCATAGATTGCCCCAAAACACATTAATAAATATTGCAGAGTAAGAGGGTTCCAGTGTCCCTCTTTATAGGTGAGGAAATGGGCACAGACAAGGATAAGTTGGCCCAACTTTATTGAAATCTGTTACAGAAGACACAATTCCAAATAAAACCACTGTCTGCGGTTTTCAAGCCTGTTGAAATCTGAGTTATGTTTTATTACAAAAGAATATAAAATACATTAAATTCAAACTATAGTGTAAAAAGAAATTTTAAAAAATAGTTTGTCCTCATGAAATTAAATAATTGCAAATGGTTTTTTCCTAAACACTTGTAAGTAGTTAACAGCTCTTTTAAAAATTCAAGTAACGAGTTTTAATTTAATAAGACCTATACTTACTGTGGTGTCAAAAGATGTTCACAATTGACATACTTCAGCCAGAAGTTTCATAAACTACAGAAAGTTTAGAGATACTTTGTTGCTAGATGAAAAGAACTGTCACAGCAGGGAAGATTATACTAGGTTAGCAGTTGTAAATGAGCAATAGTTCAACATACTATTAGAAATCACCTCTTGCCTTACAAACGCAAAGTAAATACATTTAGGCTCTCCTCTCTGGAGACGGTCACTATCAAGGCTCTGAAACTCAGTAAACACAGTTAGCAAAAAAACAAGACAGACTTCAACATGAAAATTGGCCAGAACACAATTCCTGAGGGAAGCATTTCTGATCATTTTTGTTAGGCAGTCTTTTGATCTTTAAGCTTTTAAAAACTTACTCCATTCCCAAGATCACTCTGAAAATGAAAAGAATCTGGTGGCCCTCACAGCAACCTTTAGCACATTAAGGCAATGTTTTAACTGCTGTCCTCTGATATTTCATCCCGTTTCCTACTGACAGTGTCCCCCACTTCCCTTAGAATATCAAGGTTCTCTGTACTACAAACTGCCCTTGTTTTCAGGAAAATCACATCTTTTGAAAAAATGTGTTTAGTAAATACTTTTCAATTCCCATACCTAATTTCCTGATATATAAAGCATGTAAGCGGGTGGTATATCCCCTGGGACTATAAGGCTTACTTTCGGACCAACTATTTAGGGAATTTTCTTGACATCTAAGTTTGCCTTCAGAGATTAGAATCCAATTTAGAAATAAAGTTGTCAAACATCTGTTCCTAATTTAGAGCAAAACTATACAACATTGCCCTGGGTAAACCAAAAGGTTACAGGTTCAGTTCATAGTCAGGGCACATGCCTAGGTTGCAGGTTTGGCCCCCACCCAGTTGCGGGGCATGTGCAGCAACCAACCGAGATTGCTCTCTCACAGCGGTGTTTCTCTCCCTCTCCCTCCCCCTCCCTTCACCTCTCTCTAAATCCAATAGGCATGTTCTCAGGTGAGGATTTGAAAAACAAAGCTATACAATATCTCAAAACTTCATTTATTAAATTTTATCTCAGGGAAACTTAAAAATTTTTAAACAGTATTTCCAGGCCCCAGTATAGACCTTGAACCTTAGACATAAGCATGGCAAACAAAATTTTAATTTTTTTCAACTTTTCTAAGTGTTTTTGTGGGTATGGTGGTTTGTTTTCTTTTCTTTTCCTGGTAGATCCATAGTATAGATAAAATCTGTTGCTAAGGAACACAATTTTTGACCTGGTAAGGAAATAATTATGGTAACCTGACACATGGCCAGTATTCTAAGACTAGAATTAAAGGCATTCTTTTGAATTTTGTCCTTTTATAATTTTCAGAGGGAAACCATGAAGTGGGCTTCTGGCTCTCAAAACTTGGTAAAAATGGCAGGTTTGCAGACCTTGGGTAATGTATCTCGAATTCAGCGGCCAAAGGAGCGAGTTTTTCATGACGGGGTTCACTGCTCACTGGTTCTGGGCTAGTTTTCCGTAGCCCCCTCTCCCAGCATCATAGTCCTGTCGATACTCATCTCGTACCTTAATTGAAAAAAGTGGAAGTTACAGTATAGACAAGACTGGTGTAACAAGTATCTCCCATGAATATTTCAGATAAACAGCTAAGCCATTTCAGATGTCATAATGTGAACAAACATTCAAGCAGGATGTAAATTTTTTTAAGCAACCGAGAGAAAGTTTAACTGCCTTGCCCTGCCTGGTGTGGCTCGGTTGGAGTATTGTCTGATAAACTGAAAGGTCCTGGGTTTGATCCCTGGTCGGGGAGTGTGTGGGAGGCAGCCAATCAATGTTTCTCTCCCTCTTTCTCCCTCCTTTCCCCTCTCTAAAATCAGTTAAGTATGTCTTCAGGTAAGGATTAAAAAAAAAAAAAAAAAATGTGTAATTGCCTTGCAGAATTATCTGAGACTACATAATAGGTTTTGTTTTTACCAAACGCCCAAATACATAATCAATCACCAGCATTCAAAAATAACACATTCCAAAGTACTTAAGTTCAGTTACATAAAATAAAAACAAAACTTATTTCAATATTGCTTTTGTTCTAGACACTTTGGCAGGTGGGATATATCTAGCCCCTAGCTGAAGTCCAGTAATAGTTGCTTGTGGAAATATACCATTTCACTGGTTAAGAAAATAATTTACTAATCCTAATGGGTGATTTGAGATTCACTTCAAGCCAAAGTTATAGGCACAAAGTTATTGTATTAAAATTTTTTTTTTTATTTATTGATTTTTTAGATAGAGGAAGAGAGAATGGAGAGGGGAAGAAAGATAGAAATATTGATTTGTTGTTCCACTTACGGATGCATTCACTGGTTGATTCTTGTATGTGCCCTGACCAGGAATCAAACCTGCAACCTTGGCATATTGGGATAATGCTCTTACCAACCGAGCTGCTTGGCCAGGGTCTTAGGCATAGTTATAACACTTGTCATTAGGACAGGAACCCCAGGTAAAGGCTAAGCCCAGAGAACCTTCCTGCATACCTGGCCCCCAGACCGTCCACGGCCATACTGCCTGCCCTCCTTAAAGCCTGCATCCCAGTCTGTACGAATGATCCGGTCATCCAGACGAGTTCCATTTATGTACCGCATGGCATTTTCTGCATCTGCTCTTGAATAGTATCTTAGGCATAACTATTAAGGAACACTATATAACATTTCTTCAAACCTTTTTGGAAATACGGCAAGCAACAGCTAAATGAAGCTGAGTTGTTAAGAAAAAGTACAACAAGTAATCCAACCAGATGGAGTTTAAAGACAATAATTTGGTTTGCACAGGCCTGTTTGAGGTTGATGCAGAAGCACTAGAGAGTTAAATATAACACTTATCCATGGCTACTTTGATCATGATTTCCTGAGTAATTCTATTAATAACTATTTGGTCCTGTTCTCCCCATTTTTTGATTTGCAAAGTATAAAATATGTTTAGGGCAGGTATAGGCCACAAAATGCACGTGTATCCAAGGAATCACTAGCATCCAAATTTGGGGCTATATATTGAAGAAAACTAAATAAAAGTGGTCACTGGGCATATGGAATTGCCATGGTATTTCATTAGAAGGAAAGACTCAGAAATGCTGATCTAGACATTTTTTCCTTGTCTTTAATTACAGTGGGAAAAACCTGCTGAAATTCCAGTATCTAGAACCTACGAGACGCCTAGCACATAGTGGGCATTCAATAATTTTTTGTTGAAGGAATGAAATGCATTCTAAAAGGACAAACAGAAAAATAACAGTCCCAATGGCAGGCTCTCTTTGGGTATTTGCCATTATGATTGTTCACCTTTGACCTACAAGATGAATGCAAAAATACTCCAGCTTTCAGACTGATTATTACCTACAGGGTGGATTTTCTTTGCCTTCTGTATTTTCATTGTTCTCCTTGTCCCCTGTGAACTACTGCTATCAGGGACAAAAGCAAAACATGGACACTCTGGTCCCTTTCATGTGAAGGGAAAATGGAAGGAAGCTTGCAGAGCCCAGAAATCAGACACCAAACCCAAAAGTGGGGTTTCTGGTTCAAGCTAATAGTGAGCACATTTCTCTCCTTTCCTTCTCAAGACCCTATTAAAATGACAGAAAAGAAACATACACCCAGAAAATAGAAGGGGCCATCAGCAGACTAGTGATTGAGCAAAAAGTCCCTTGGAGAGTGGATGAAACAAAGTCACAGTCTGAAATATTCCAAAGAAGTTTAAAGGAGACAGGAAACCCAGGAGGCTCTTAATTCAAAGTTGAATAAGAAGTGAAACTGCAAATAAGAGTTTAACAGTTTCTATGTGGGAACACTTTGCTAGCAGGATGGGCTTTAATTTCAGATAAATACAAATAAAATGATGCAGTTCTGAATGAACTGTCTGGAGGAACTAGCACATGTCTTGATATTAGCTGGCCAAAATACAATTCTTTCTGGCATTTGAGAAACCCACATAGCCCAAAGGTAAGGCAACAACTTGAGGAGCAGCTCTGCCTGGGTCCACAAAATGAGACATCTTTTTCTTAATTATGATTGGAAACGTAACCTTTATGGAAAATGTACAGCATAAATATAACCAAAAGAAACAGATAATTCAGGACACAAAAAATTTTCAAAAGACATGTTAGATCAGGTCTGGCCAATTTCTCAGAGTATAAAACAAATTGACCCAAAAAACAAAGATATTAGGGAAAAAACAGGATAAATCTAAGAGTTCCAATATTTACATTTTCCAGGGAGAGAATAAATGATCATAAATACAGTTTTGGTATTGACCTATAAAAATCAAGCTATAGCCCTGGCTGGTGTGGCTCAGTGGACTGAGCACCAGCCTGTGAACCGTAGGGTCGCTGGTTTGATTCCCAGTCAGGGCACATGCCTGGGTTGTGGACCAGGTCCCCACTGGGGGGTGCATGAGAGGCAACCACACACTGATGTTTCTCTCCCTCTCTCCCTTCCCCCTCTCTAAAAATAAATAAATAAAACCTAAAAAATTTTTTTAAGAGGCAGACCTACATGTGCTAACGTGGAACAACCTCTAAGACGTAGGGAAAAATACAGTGCATGCAGTACACTACCACACATCCACAAGATTTCATCTGGAAAGACACCCAAGAGACTGGTAACTGTCTCTGGACTTACAGTGGTACAGGGATTTTATTTTCACTACACCCTTGACTTTTTAAAAATACCATGAGCATATATTCTTTAAAGTTGTTTTTCTTAATTATAAATAAAGCATGGATTTCAGAACAGAATATAGATGTTGCCAGCTTTCACAATGTAAAAGTGTGCTCATACTGGACAGAAAGTGGGAGTAGATGAAAGAAGGAGAGAGAGAGAGAGATAAGTTTAGGGATGCTAATTAGCAAGTATCCTCACTTGTTTTTAAAAAAAGATGACTAACCACTCTAAATCCCACCTCATCCAAGAGCTACATCAGACACACAGGAAGGATACTCCACAAAGCAGAAGCCACATGCTGTTTTCTTCATTTTGTCCAGGCCCATAATGATTTTCTTTATGTCACCACTTTTGCTGAAGAGTTCATAGATTTGTTCTTCAGTTGTGTAAAAGGAAAGATTTCCAACATACAATGTACAGCTTTTCTTCAGTAATTTTTCCTGTTCTTCATTGTCACCCTAGAATTTCAAACAGATAAAAAGTTAAACAACACAATCTAAGAAGAGCCCTGCTTAAGTAGTATTCCTAATATTAGAAAACTTTTCATTAATTCTGATTGGGGAATCAGCTTCTCTCATCATCCCAATCTATGACAAACACCCTGCCAAAAAAAGAGAGAGAGAGAGAGAGAGAGGTGTTCACTATCTATGAAACACTTACGCAAGATCCAGGCTGCTTTTAATAGAGGGCCATGACTTGAAAGTTACATTGCATATAGTCCTCCTCCTGTACCATACTACCTGCCATACAAGTGGCATGCCTTTTCCCTGCACACTCATATCCTCAGCACTGAATCCTTTTCTAATAGTCCAAGTTTAATTTCCAGACCCTGAACCAATTTATTTGAAAGGATGATTTTAACCTTTGCCGTGAAAAATAAATGGATTTGCAGGGACAGGGTACCCCTTTAACGCTCCCATAGAGAACGTTCAAAGCAACAACTGCTTAGATAGTTTCCATGCTCCTATATTTTTCTCTGAGTTCAGGAGAAAGTCTTTTAGCCTCCACACTGGGGAGGTCAAGTGTTGATTAAATACAAAACCTACCAGCTGACCTGCTCTCAGGCCTTCAGACCCATATTTGGGCTCTAATATCAGCCACACAGTGGTATTCAAATTTGGAAAGGAGCTGAACCGATATTCAAATTCAGGCTGCCAAAGCACTTTCCCAAGAAGCATAGCTTTTTCATTTACTGGTCTATTTAGAATGCTAATCCAGTTTCTTTACTCTCAGAATAAGACTTTGCATTATTCATTCCGAATGCTTTGTAGCACGGTGTTCAGAGTAATAGGTCTCGTGCTCACATTCAATGCCAGCACAGAGAAACCATCTATAAACTCACATCAAAAGGAAAATGATGAATAAATCGTAGTACCTCAATACATAAAACTATGCAGCCCCAAGAAAAATGTACATCTACATACAGTGATACAGAACATTTCCATAATGGAGCAAAGTGAAAAAGAAAAGTACAGAACAATGTGAAGGATATATTCCAAGTTATGTATTTGCTAAAGTATGAATACACATAGATATCATAAACAAGAAAAAGGTATGTCTGACTCTAGTGAGAATCCAGGGACTGCAGGTCAGTGACTTCCATGTATGAGGTCTCATTTACTTCTCAGAACTGAATTAGGTAGGTCCTAACTTATTCTCATTTTACAACTCAGTAAAGACAGTTAAGACTTGTCCAGGGTCACACAGCTACTCTGTAGTTGTAGCTGGAATCCAAACCCAGTCTCATACCCAATCTCATACTTCCTTAAAAAGTCCCCAAGGTGCCCTGACTGGTGTGGCTCCGTGGGTCAGGCGTCCTCTGGCAAACCACTGAAAGGTCGTAGGTTTGATTCTCCATCAGGGCATATGACTGGGTTGCAGGCCAGGTCCCCAGTTGGGGGCCTGCAGGAGACAGCTGATTAATATTTCTCTGCCTTTCTTTCTCCCTCCCTTCCCCTCTCTCTAAAAATAAACAAAATCTTTAAAAAATAAAAAGTCCACAGAGCATTAGGTTTTCAGAACTTTGAAATAAGACATTAGATTCACTTTATTTGTATTACTACTGTAATATAAACTTTTTTTGTTAAAATTATGGTCAGGGGGTATTTTCTTTTTTCTTTCTACTTTACTCACTTAAGTAATGTCCAAACAAATCAGCTTATGGCTCAAGACAACTGGTGTTGTACTTAAGGTATGATATTAATGTGGATTCCATTCAGGGAACACTAGAAATTCTGCGTGACAGTATCTTACTACTATCCAAGTAAAGCTACAGGCTTTAGAGTGCAGGGAAAAATAACAAAAGTTGAATCCTTTCAGTATCAATTTTTCAGGATGCTTGAAATTCAAAATGGTTATGATGTGGAACTTCCTAAAGTAATGAGGATTGTTAAGTGACAAGTGACAATCATGCCTGGCACATGGTAAGCATTTAAAACTGGCTGACTGAGTAAATGAATTTAAGATCTTCCTCAATTTGGCCTCAAACAAAATTTCCTTGTCCTACTCTAATAACACTTTTTACACATTCCCCACGCCTACCTTCTTCTATATGTACCCCCTTCCTTCCCAGTCACAGGGTTATATCCCTTTACTGAATTCTCACAGCCCATTCTCTCAGCCTTACATCCTCACAGCTTTACACTCATCATTTCCGCTCTAGGTTATGATTACTTGCCTCCATTTAAAGTCCCTACTATGGGATTATGAGCTCTTTAAAGTGTAGAAACTTCTTCCCTTTCCCTCTTGCAGGGGTATCCAACCTTTTGGCCTCTGGGCCACACTGGAAGAAGGTTGTCTTGGGCCACATATTAAATACATTGTGACATGTAATGATAAAACAAAACAAAAACTAATGTTTTAAGTAAATTTACACTTTTTTGTTCGGCTGTATTCACAGCCATCCTGAGCAGAATGCATCCGGTCATACACCCTGCAGGGCACAGCAGAAGGCTCGGCAACAGCACTGGAGAGGAGTGGTTAATGAAGCTCGCTCCACCTCACCCTTTGCTGCTAACAAATAAACTACCTTGAACATCTGTTGCTTTCTCTTTTTCCACAAAATCTACTACGACATAGGCCAAACTAAAATTTTCCTCTTCAGAGACCCACCAGTTCTCTGATTTTAACATGTGGACTAGCGATATGCCATCTGTATACAAGAATTTTTAAAACATGCAATACCCGACCTCTTTTCCCTTAGATTATAAAAAAATTTTTTTTAAAAGGCAACATCCAACAACAATAATAACAGCCGCCCAGTGTGCATGGATCAAAATTATACCTATTTTTTGTCGGATCAGCAAAAAAAAGGTTTTAGGCAAAATTTTAGTAATTACTTTATGTGTGCCATGAAATGGAAAAGGTTGCTAATAGCTGATCTAGACACTTAACGTGCTTGGCTGGCTCATCTCCCCATTCCTAGGCTCCCTAGGGGTGAAGACTGGGCTCAACTTTGTGGTCCCATCCACCGCGTGGAAAGGAAGGACTCGAAGAACCAAAGGCCAGTTGGGCTAATATCTAATATAAACCAAAACATAATAAAAGACCCCGATATCTGAGTCAAGAAGGCGCCAAAAGGCGCTAGTGTCAAAAGGACGCCCCTTCCCCTCATGATAAAGTTACCTTCCGAGGCACAGCCCAGGAAAATGTGAGCCACCACTACTGCCGCTCGAACCCCTCTCTACATTGGCCCGGGAACAGGGAGGCTGCAGGGGAATGGGAGAGCGAGCCTCAAATGCCCTTTCTAGCAGAGGAGGAGATTCAGTGATATCCAAACGCCCGTTTAGCATCCATTCCCCAGCAGGCACCAGGGTCTCACTTCGGGTTTCGGGAAACCAGAGAATGAGAAACGACACAAGAAAAACCCAATTCTCAGCGTTCTGGCCCAGGGCCTTCCCTTCTTGAGGCGCGGCCTCCCCTACCCGGAAGTGCTGATCCCGGTACTGGCTCAGCTCCACGTAGGAGTCGCTGCGCAGCGCCTTCAGGAGGCCACCGGACATGGTGCAGAGGGGTGGACGATGACACCGTCAGTCCGCGAACAACGAGCTGCCCCCGAGGTGGTGGAACCGGAAAAGCGCGGCGGCGACCGCAGAAAGTCGTCATTTTGTCGACCAATCCCAGGACGGCAGTGTCGTCACTGGGAGGCGCGGGCTCAGACGTGGTCCATTATCTAGCGTCGCCGATCCGAAGCGGGGGCGGTGTCCTGCGGGTTCCGGGTCGATCCAAGCAAGGATGGTTCTAAGGAGGCTGCTGGCCGTCCTGCTGCACAGCCCGCAGATAGTGGAGCGCCTGTCCGAGTCGCGGCCTATCCGGCGTGCAGCGCAGCTCACTGCCTTCGCACTGCTGCAGGCCCAGCTGCGCGGCCAGGACGCGGCCCGTCGTCTGCGAGGTCTCGGGGGTGGGCCCGCGGCATCTCTGGGCCGCCGTGCTGCCCGCTTCAGAGACACCTTTACTAAGGAGGTACGCCGCGGCCTCCAGGAGCGCCCGGGGCCACCACCGGGTGGACAGAGGGGCCCGGACGCAAACCCCTAAACCCGGATTGGGCCGGGCCGAGATCGCTTGCTTTCCCTTCTGGTCTGGACACGGGCCTCGGGGCTAAGGAGTGATCCCCGGCACTGCGCACGGCTCCGAATCCTGACTCGGCCTGTACAGGTCTACTTCTCAGACGCCAAACGGACATCCCCGGTGCAGCCCTGTGATCGGACAGGGCACAGTGTGTGAAGAAATCCCCCGAAACCTAACAGAAATGAAGATAGGCGAGACCCTGATACTCCATGTACAGACAGCCATGGACCGTACCACTGCGCGAAAGGGAGTCTGCCCTCTGCGAATGGGATTAAAACTCGTGATAGATGATGCTGCGTCTGCACTGATGTAGCACGGCACTACCTCCAGGAGAGATCATGGGTGGAAAGACAACCTAGCGGATGCCAAAATCCTCTGATTAAATGTGCGAGCCGAGCAATGGGTATGAGTGTGGTACTTCTCTGGCAAAATGGATTAGGATTCCTGGGGACTGTAGGCCCAAGGTAGTACTAGTTAAGATCCTGAGTGCTTACTTTGTGTTGTCACTTGCTAAATGCACCCTGTGTGGGTTATCTCACTTAATCCCTACAACCACTTTCATATGGGAAAGGGTAGGCTACTTCTTAAGTTGCCCATGGCCTTACAGAACGTGATGTGAATACACAGGCCTTTGACTCCAGGGCCTAAGACCGTAGTTAGCTCTCTAAAGCATTTACCCTGACCCTCAGTGCCTGCCTCCCCATTCCCCACCATCACCACTGGTTGTTAGAACTACTGCCTACCGTGGAACAAGCTACCTGGATTCCTATTCACCATTTTAGAGGATCAAGGATACAATATAAGTATTATGGTGCAGCTAATGGACTTGCTATTAGGAAAATCCATTGTATACAGAAATGTCCTGCCATTTGAGGCTTCTGACTGAATTTCTGATCACCTCTAATTAGGCTACACAGTTATTCATGCAATATGGAGAGGTGGAAGCCACACGAGAAGCTTTTAGACTGGTAACCAAACACACTTTTATACTCTGGCTTTTCTGATAGTCATGGGAGCTAGATAGGGCTGGAGATGATGGAACTAATGTAACTTGTCTTCCACTTTCTTAATGGTCAGACTCTTGCTTGGCATCCCACCTTTCAGTCTTCCCATCAGAGGTACTATTTAATCCTCTGTAAGGCCACAAGTCCCATTCTTCTAATAACCGAAGTCCTGGTGTGGCATCCTACCCTCCTCTCCTCCTATAAGAGGACATACCCTTCTCCTAGACCAGAAGCAACTCTGGATTGTCCTTGGAGGCTGGCGGTAATGAGTCTGAGGAGCTTGTACATTCTACTGTCTTGTCTGCCCCTTTAGTCTCAGTCCCACCCGTTGGTCTCTGGATATCAAAACAGCACAATATTAGCAGTCCCCAGCCCAAACCCCTACCCTCAACATAAACAAGCACACTGACTGTCTTTTTCTTAAAAAGGGAAGAAGTGCAGCAAGCAATGAAATTTCAAGACAAACTGGCCATTTAGTAAGAAAGGAAGGAAAGCAAGAAAAGGGAGCACTTGCTTATTTTTTTTTTTTTTTTTTTGTGGAAGGAGTATATAAGAGTTCCCTCCATTCCTGTAGAACATACCTGGAAGCAGAGAGAAAACTCCTTTCTGCTCCAACTGGAGGTGACTGGGATGTCTCCTCACATCATTGTAAAAGCGTCCAGTGTTTATATCGGTGGTTTGCCTTCTCACCAGTTACCCTGTTACTAAAGAAACAGACCAAATCCTCCCAACCCCCACAATAGCCTCCCAGCATGTTGTTCAAGCCCTTCTAAGCTTTGCCAGAAAGAGAAGCAACTTAGCCCCTCATCCTGCAGACCCTGCAGTACAGGGTAATTCCAGTTCACCTTTTGATGCCACACAGGTGCAAACATTTCACAGACAAATTTATTAGAGCCCAGGCCACCACAATCTACATGGACTGCTACACCAGCAGTTTCTCCAGGGCATTCTGAGTTGGTGGACCCAACTGGGGAAGGGAAGAGGCAGAAGCCCAAGGAGTTTGAGGCCCTAGACTCTTGGGTGTCTCTGAGGTGGCACTTGGGTTTATATCTGTGGACAGAAATGCCATCTTTGGCTGCAAAATAAGTAAGTGCTTATCAGTTGCCAGGGATGATGCCTTAGTGATAGGAAGACAAGTGAGAGGTTTGTAGCAGAAACATAAACCACAGGAATAGTGAATTGTCACGAATGAGCCTGTAGAGTTTAAATGAGGCAAATGCCTGATAGTGTTCCAGAACCAGTTTGTACTGTTTCACGAGAGTAGATCCTTGGTATCTCCTCCCAACTTGGAATTCAGTAACATCAATTTAGTAGTCTGAAATCAGCCATGTGGGAGTATTTACACCACAGAAATTGGCAAATGCTGTAAATTGGGGCTATTTTGCCCCCCAAAACAGGTTGCTACACTACCAGCCTACTAAATTTCCTCTTCCTTGGGGTTGGAGTCATGAGAAAAGTATGGCAGTTAGACCCTAGCAGCAGTCATAGGACAGCATGCCTGTGAGGGGTGTAGATTTAAGATTATCCAAGGTTTTAGCCAGCAAAAGGCAAGACTAGAAAAACACTCAGGTTTGGTCATTTGTGTAGGTTTGGTCTGCTCTGTGCTGATGTCCAGCTTACTGATCTCTGGCCCTGTTGTCTCTTGTTCACATAAGATGGCAGAAGTGTGAGGTGTGAGAATAAGGACAGATGAAGTACCACAGCTCCTCATGGTCCCAGTGGTCTGGGACCTGCATGCTCAGGAGTGTGACGGCTTCCATCAAAGCAGCAGATGTTGGTTTGGCATGGGGCTTGCTCTCCATCCTGTGAAGAGAGGTTTCAGACACGGCCTTTGAGCTCAGAAAGGGATCAGATCACATTTAAGAAGAAAGGCTTCTGGAAGCACCAGGTTGTCAAGTGCTGCTAGAAGCTGACTCAGTATTGTGTGTTCTCTACTCCGAGAGGGGCAGGCTTGGGAGGGAAAATTATTCTTAAAAGAAGAATGATCCTTTATCCAGGAGAATCCTTGAAGAATGAGATGCTGAAATGTCCCACTGCCATTTATGGATGGGAGTGGAAGGGAGTGGAAAGAAATATTCCAGAACTACGTTTTTAGTAATAACCAAACACTAAGAAAGCAGGCACTAAAGTGCAATTAAATATACCACCACACCCACTTCTATGCCTAAAGATCTTTAGGAGAGACATGCCGATCTAGCCAGAGGACATGCACCGCAGACCCAGGAATGACAGTGTTAGCTGTCAGACACCTCAGACATCCTCTGAACCATTGTATAGGTTGGGAAACTGAGGCTGGGTAAGGGAAGAGACTTTCTTAAAATCACAAAGCCAGTGAGTGTCAGACCAGGGACTAGAACTCAGGTCCCTTGAATCTGAGGTACCTACTCTCTACATCTCCACTGTCTCCTAGGTGTCTAGGAAGCTAAGAAGTTGTCCTGACAGCAAGAGGTAAGGCATCCTGGAAGGTTTGGAGATTACTGAGTAATGTCATTAGCAGATAGTTTTCTCTTCACAACCAGGTGCTATCATATATTTAAAACAGCACAGGGGCTGGAAGGAATTAGGCAGGAACAGACATTAGGGGCCAAAGTTCTCTGGGGACCTTGACCAGTCAGATCTTTGATCTTTGCGGGGAAAAGGATACCAGGTTACCCAGAAAGTAAAACAGCCAAGGGCTGTGCATAGGTGAGGCAGTGGCGGGAGCTCTGGAAGGGGAAGGAAAGGAAGAGAATCAGGGCTGTGCTCCAGCCCAGCTACCTACACAGAAGGTGGAGTGGTGGCTTCACCTGTGGCAGTGGATTTCCTGTCATGTTGTCAGGCTTTTCCCCGAGCTCCAGTATGTGAAGGCTGAGATGGTCCCTCCAAGCCCCACTCAACAGGGAGGATAGGGCTGGTGGGTCCTCAAGGGTCAAGTGGGGAAACACGAGTGTCTCACTCTTGAGAGGAAAGCTGCACTTCTCCATGGCAGGCCTGGTGGTGCCAGGGGTCACCACAAAAAGGCGGCAAAGCCACTGCCCACCAGCCACCTGGCAGGCTGGTCGTCTGGTGAAGTCATTCAGGGCTTGGCACAGGACCCAGTCCTCAGTCCCACCCATGTCCACCACCTCCACAGGTGATCCCAGACCTGGCAGATGTAGGAGGTGCCGGGGAGGCATGTAGGTGTGGGTGAAGAGGAGTGTGTAGTGGGTAGGCACACTTGGGAGCACAGGTGCATGAACCACTCGCTCCAGGTGCTCCAGGCCAGGCACGAGACCCCCCTGGTGCAGGCAGCCAAAGAAGAGGGCCCCCAGGGCATTGAAGAGGACCAGGGTGCCCTTGTAGGGCACAGGTTGGGTCTGTGGACTACAAAGCAAGACCAGGGGGACCAGAAGGGGAATCAGAAACCGAGCCTCCTGGTGGCTAAAAGCAGACAGCAGAGCCAGGGGCAGGAAGTAGAGGAGCAGGAGGTGAGACCTGGGGCTGGACAGTAGACACTGGGCATCCAACATCCTCCGAAAGCCCATTTGTACAAAGGCCTGGAAGCAGACTTGCAGCTGTTGCCACCCAGCCTGCAGGGCCTGGGCATGCAGCATCCCAAAGAGCAGAAAGCCATTGACTGCCAGGTGAGTGAGCCGCAAGTGTGTGCCGTGCCTCACCAGGTTTTGAGGATCCAGGTTGTAGTGCAAGAAATTGGCAGGTGTAAGGACAAAGGTCCTGGATCTAGGGCTGGAGAAATACCAGCTGTCCACAGCCACAAACACTGCTGCGGTGAGGGTTGCTCCTGGGAGGAGCCCCAGGGCTTCCTTGGTCAGTGACTTGAAGGCAGGCTTTGCGGCTCCACAAATGCCCCAGAGAAAGATGGGGATCAGGGCAAAGGCCAGAAAGGTGGGCCGGTTGAAGAAGCCAGCAGCCACAATGCTGCCGAGAAGCCAGCTGTGCCACCACGGGCTTGGGGCAGGCTTTTTGGGTGTGGAGCTCCAAGCTACACGGGAGGATACCAGTACCAGCAGCCATGAAAACAGCAGTCCCTCGATGGCGTTGGAGAAGGTCCTTGTATAGAAGACCAGGGTGACGTAGGAACCAGACAGCAGGACCAGGGCATTCCAGCGCTCCGCCCTCCACAGTGGGGCCAGGTGGTAGACGGCCACATCCAGGGCAAAAGAGAGGGCAGTGAGGAGGAGCCGGGGTGCCACGAGCAGCACATAGCCACTCACTGGGACAGGCCACGGCCCCAGCTCTTCCCAGAGCCTGAGCAGCCAGAAAGCAGAGCCAGAGGTCAGCAGTGGAAAGACCACCGTGCGGCAGGAGCTGCTGGGCTGAAACTCCCAGGGCCGGGCGGCCTCTATGCCGAGGATGTCCTCTGCAGAGAGAGAAGCAGAGGTGAACCAGTTCCAAGCTCAGGGAATATGGTAGACAAAATTCTACGATGGCCCCCAAGATATTCGAGCCCCGGTAATGTTCACTCCCCACATAACTCCTGAGACTGTAAATAGGATGGATTTAACTCTTGTGATTAGGGGATGGCTGACCATATGAGAGAGCAATAACCCAGATGGGCCTGATAAAATCACACTAGCCCTTTAAAGGCAGAGCATTTTCTCCAGTTGGTGACAGAAAAGGACATCGGAGATTCAAACCATTAAAAGGATTTGACGCACCATTGCTGTCTTAAGATGGAAGGAGCCACTGGAAAGGCATGTGGGTAGTCTCTAGGAGCTGAGGGCAGTCCCTAGCCGACAGACAGCAAGGAACGGGGACTTCAGTCACATAGCCGAAATAAACTAAATTCTTCCAACGAGAAGAATGACCTTGGGAAGCAGGTTTCCCCCCAGAGCTTCAGAGAAGAACTCAGCCCAACCTATACGTCGATTTCAAGCCCTAAGAAGAGAACCCATGCCTGACTTCTAATCAACAGAGCTGTGAACTAACAGTTTTAAGCTGCTAGGTTTGTGATTTGTTATGCAGCAATAGAAATGAATGTAGGAGAGTTCAGCCCTTTGATGCCTGACCTGTGAAGGGAGTAGGAGGAACCATGCCTGGGACACGAGGTGACAATGTGCCCTGGACAGGGTGTATGGTGAGGAGCAGGGAGTGGTTCCAATTATCTCCTCAGATTTAAAGTCTCCAAAGTCAGAGTCAAAAACTCATCTCTGTAATAATGATTGTTATTCAGGATAGGCAGTATGAGGAGGGGAAAGGGAATGAGCAGTTGTGGCTATGGTCAAAGAGACTTTAGTTTTGTGTGTATTTAAATTTTTTTTATAAGAAGAATATATCCAAGCAGTACTTAGGTAATTAAAAGGATCCTCGTCAGCTGGCCCTGGTCTATGGTCCTTTGCCCCAGTCTCCCAGAGCTCTGAGGGGCGAGGGTGAGGGAAATAAACCTTTAGTTTCTGCATCTCAGCTCCAACCCCACCACTTCTCATCTTGAAAATATTGCTGGGTTTTTTTAGGGCTTTCCTCGCCCTACTTATTCCTCTAACCTTTTAGCCATTTTCTCTCTTTATATCACAAGGTAAATGGGGAACAGAAAACCTAGGATCAGATCAATTTGGCTGCTTTTTACTGGTTTTGGTTTTAAAAAGTGTAGAAAAGCAGACTGGACCTTTCAAGTTAAATCCACTTGTTGAGGTCTGTGGCGGAAATAGCTGAATGTCTCCCCAATATCCATTTCCTTCTTATTCCTTAGCCTCTTCAGTGGGACATGTGGTCAATTATAAAGAGTGTAATTTTCAGCTTCCTTTGCAGCTAGGTGTGGCCAAGTGATACATTCTGACTAATTGAATGGAAATGGGCAGAAGGTATGTGACTTTCAAAAATGCCCTTGAAGAGAGGAGACATGCCCATTTCTTCTCCAGTGGCTGGAAAGACTTGGTTTTAGACTTGATGGCTGGAGCTCAAGCAGCCATCTTGAACTGTGAGGAGGAAGCCATGTGCCCAGAGCATCTGAAAAGCCTCAAGGTCCCTAGCAACCATCCTCATGATGTGTCCTGCACCAGATAAGTGCTAACAAGTGAGCATTCCGGGTCTGGGTTCCCCAGTCCTTATGTAAATCTACAGAAGAAAAGTTACATTATCTCACATTACAACCCTGTGTAAGTTTTCCCAGTCACTGGGGAAGTCCAACACAAATCCTTTCACTGAGAAATACAGAATAGTTTTTCTTCTAAATAACCTGTACTGTTGGTCTAAGCAGGAAAACACCAAAGAGGCTGGCATTTCATTAGTTACCATCCAGAAGGTAAATGTTACCATTCAGGAAGGAGATGCTAAGTCCCCACTCCCAAGTTCTTATTCTAGAGAGGCTCATGGATTTACTGCTCATCTACACAGATATGTTTCTCCCTCCTCACTAAATATGCAGTCAGCTCCAATCCAGACTTTGCTGCGACTTATCTTTACGCATGCAATGCTTTACCTGCCATGACCTCAGGTGACTGGAAGAACTCATCTGGGTGCACATAGCCTGTTTGTGGGAGGAGACACCACAGCAGGCGGAGCAGGCCGAGGCCGCCCCACAGCACCCTCGATGCCATCTTCAGATCCGATTTCTTCTAAGACACTGGGCCAAGAGCCTTCTGAATGACCTCTCAGCTACTTGAGATGCTGTTCTGGATCCACAGATCTGTATCTGCTAACAATAACATTTGTTAGTTATTATCATGTAAATTATCATATGTTCAATCATCTGAATAAACTCAAAGTGGATTTATGTACAATTAAAATGATAATGATAACTGCTGCTATTTGCTGAGTGTTAAGTGCCAGAAAGGTTACATGTGTATCTCATTTAAACCTTTCCACAGCCTGGGGCAGTAGGTCTCACCGTCTCCTTTTTACAGATGGGAAAATTGAGACCTCTGTTGAGTAACCTGGTTACTTGATAATCATATTTGGTGGGTCTAAATATGATACTTGCTAAATATAACATTTGCTAGCATGACATTTTGCTAAGTGTCTAAATATAACATTTGCAAGTAGGATTAGGGTGCCCTACAAATCTGGGTCTCAAAACCCCTGTCCTGTCCACAGCTCCTTTCCATAGGCAAGCATGGCAACCTATCTCTTGCTGTTCTGAAAACTTGAGAACCTCCATGGATTCCATCCAATTCACTGCAGAAATGCACCCAATTCCACTCTGCTGTCTCCCGTCACTCCCTCCAACTTGCACACACCCTGGAGCCTACCCTTTAGAAACTGATGGGAATTTACTGGAGGATCTGAATGTGATGTACTAGTATCAGTTAAGTGGGTGTTTTTGGGGGATGATGAGGTTATGAAGGTGCGGCCCTCATGAATGGGGTAGTGTTTCTATAAATGAGCCTCCACAGTGTCCCCTCCCCCATGTGCATCATGTGAAGACACAGCCAGAAGTTGCTGACTCTGAACCAGGAAGTGGCCCTTCACCATCCTGCCACCTTGGGCCAGCTGCTTATATCCTAAACTTCAGGTTCCTCATCAAGAAAGTAAGATGACAGTATCAACCTCATGGGGCTGGGGGAGAATTCAAGAGCAATTACACAGAGGGCATTTAGTATACAGAGCTTGCAGGTGTAAGTGATCAATCTGAAGTTGCCATTACTACTTTCTTAGTGGAGGCACAAGGTAATGAAGTCCTGGCTGCTCTGGGCACTCCAGGAAATCCTCAAAGTAGCATATCTGCTGGCTATGAAAATAAACAGCATTTGGTTCCATCTGGTTGCTTAGATACATTTATGCATGTGTTTCAAACTTTTCTTTAAGAACAAAACTTTTAGCCCTGGCCGAGTAGCTCAGCTGGTTACAGAGTCATATAGATACGCCAAGGTTGTGGGTTCAGTCTCCAGGCAGGACACATATAAGAAATAACCAATGAATGCATAAATAAGTAGAAAAACAAATGTTTCTTTCGTTCTCCAAATTAATAAATAAAAATATATACTAAGAAAGAAAAAGAACAGAACTTTTACTCCGTGATTAGAATTAAAATACCAAATCCATTGCGCTGATTGGGAACACAAACTCAGCCTGCCCTGCACTGATGTGGGTAGTTACAGAACAAGCCGGGATCCTGAGTCTGCACTATTTTCCCTCTGCAGCAGCAGAAGAAATTCAGCAAGGGGACATCTGTTTATTTTTTTAAAGATTTTATTTATTTATTTTTAGAGAGAGAGAAAGGGAGGGAGAAAGGGAGAGAAACATCAATGTGCAGGAGATTCATCGATTGGTTGCCTCCTGTGCACCCTCAACTATGGACGTGGCCTGCAGCCCAGGCATGTGCCCTGACTGGGAATTGAACTGGTGACCTTTTGGTTTGCAGGCCAGCACTCAACCCACTGAGCCACACCAGCCAGGACAGGACATCTATTTAGTGTCCATGATCTCTTCCCCCTTTCCCAAGTACTCAGACTTCCCACTGAGAACTACATGCCTCACCTGCTACCACCAGTTTTCAGTGTTAAAATTATGACAGAGACCTTAACCTGGACAGAAATCAGAGGGCCTGTGGAGGCGATCTCCAGTGGCCCAGTTGGTTAGCAGGTGGTACTTATAGAGCAGTATATGTTCTTCGTACATGTGTCTGCACATACTGGATTGGAATCTTTCTTTTTCTCGAATAAATCCTTCTGGTGATAGAATACCTAGTTAACTTTTGTTTTATAGTTGACATCAGCTATGTGGCCTGGGATTTGATCCCATCCCTAAAACTAGGAATAGACCCTGAATGGTTTAAGGCAAATAACATTTCCCATCCCACTGGGCACACTATGGGCACATGACAAGCTGGTCAGAAAAGAGGAACTAGGAAAAGTACATACTGGCAAAGGTGTGAGGACTTATAATAACTTTAATTTCATAATTTGTGGCCCAATATTGGGACTTTTTCAGCTGAGCTCTCAAGCTGCTTGCAGAAGATAACTTTGCCTTTTTGGGTTCCAGAACTATCCCCCTGTGCTGATTGTACTGTTTGATAAACTGTACTCCTTGCATCACTGTTAAAAAAATACTCCCTGTACTGCCCTGACCGGTGTGGCTCAGTTGGTTGATTGTCGTCCCACAAAGCGGAAGGTTGCCAGTTCAATTCCTGGTCAGGGCACATGCCTAGGTTTGGGGTTTGGTCCCCAGTGAAGCATGTACAAGAGGCAACTGACGGATATTTCTCACATTGATGTTTCTCTCCCTCTTTCTTCCTCCCTCCCCTTCTCTCTAAAAATAAATAAATAAATAAATAAAATCTTAAAAATATTTAAAAAACACCCCATGTACTATGATTGTGTGATCAAAGACAACTCTTTTGTTCTACAAGCCTGCAGGCTTGAGCTGAAACTAGGACTTGATAAATGTTTAGTCATGTATTACCCACTGTTCTCATCTCACAACCATACGTGCTTAATCATTGAGTCAGCCAATCATTGAAGGTCCAGTTGCCATCCACCAATCAGAAAACAAATGATGTAAGTTTTTGGTCTTGTTTTCCTTAGCAAGCCATCTCTTTAATCTACAGCTCCTTGAAATTTAGTCTTTATAAACAGTGCCGGACTCCCTCCATTTTGGAACATATTCTGAGTTCAGACTAAGATTACATTTCCCATTTTGCAAATCTTTATCTGAAGAAACTCTTTAAATAGCTTTAAAAAGGTACCTCCCAACTTTTGTTTACATGAAGGTCATGATCTTTCTTTTCTCTGCCAGATTTGGTGGGTGTTGTGGTGAGAAATGTGTTCTTTAGACCCTTCTGGGGTGGGTGAGCAGGTCTTACACAGTAACTCCACTCTAACATTCCAATCTCATTTACCCTGGATTTCTGTCAATATAAATTGGGAAAATCACACCGGTCTTTTGGGTGGATCACAAACCTCCTTGTGGGTTACACTTTGTACCTTCTCTTTATGCACCTGCTGGAACTTAGTTTAGAAGCAAAGGAGGGTATTGGGGTGGGTCCTGAGGAGAATCAGAATTGTCTAGCAAAGCAACTGCTTCACGGGAGGCCATTACCATTTCCAAAAGCTGTGCAGGGTTCATTCCCTCAGATGGGAGTGGAAGAACTGCTTATATTGGTAAAAAAAAGACTCATCAGAATTTAGGGACTCAACTGTCCTTTCTGAAAGGACATAGCCTGCACCATTTGCTATCTTCTGAGCTTATGTCCACAGAACTGGAAAATTACTGGAAAAGCAAGAACAGAACGAGACTAACCACTCCCCTACAACCACATGCAAAAGATAACACTGGAGCAAACTGCAGTTTCTGAAACCTGTGTTACGACACCCCTAACAGCCCAGGGCTATACGACAGCAACCCCTTCCCCAAACCTTTGTAAGCCAATAAAAGCTTAAAACCCCAACCCCTCAGGGCCAGTGTATTTCTCCACTCCTGGCCCCTTTCCTCTCTTGGGAAGTGAAAAGCTTTGTTCTCTGCGTTTTCATCTCTTTCTGAATTCTTTCACAGCCCGCCCTAATGAGCACTCTAACGCCCCAGCTCAGTCAGTCCTCTCACATGTCCCCATTCCAACGTTCATGATTCCATTCCTTCCTAATCAATGCCCTCACTTAAACAGTGGACACCCTTTGAGGCTGACAATTCATTTTGTATTGTAATTTAGCCACTTACAGGATGAGATTCTGGTTTTGGTTTTTTAGCAATTTCAGCCCTGCAGGCAAGAGGAGATAAGGGTCTCTTTCAGGGCAGACACTGAAGTTTTCTGGTAATTTAAAAAATGTTTTGTTTTGTTTTTTTAATTGATTTGAGAGAGAGGAAGGAAAGAAGGGAGGTAGGGAGAACGGGGCGGGGGGGGTGGTGGGGAGAGAGAAACATTGATTTCTGTATGCGCCCTAACTGGGAAATGAACCCGCGATCTGGTGTATGGGGATGGCACTTTATCCAGCTGAACTACCCAGCCAGGACAATGAGATAATTCTTTTTTTTTTTAAGCATTATTTTTATTGACTCTGCTATTACAGTTGGTCCATTTTTTCTCTTTATCCCATTCCACCCTGCACTCCCACCCCCTCCAGCATCATCCCCGACCTTAGTTCATGTCCATGGGTCATACACATAAGTTCTGTGGCTTCTCCATATCCTATACTATTCTTAACCTCCCCATCTATTTTGTGCCAACCAATTTGTGCTTCTTATTCTCTGTACCGTTTTCACACATTCTCACCCCACCGCCCCCACCCCTGCACTGATAACCCTCTTTGTGACCTCCATTTCTGTGATTCGGTTTCTGTTCTAGTTTGCTTAGTTTCTTTTTGGTTTTGTTTTTAGGTTCAGTTGTTGATAGTTGTGGGTTTATCATTTTACTGTTCATAGTTTCTGATCTTCATCTTTTTCTTAGATAAGTACCTTTAACATTTCATATAATGAGGGTTTGGTGATGATGAACTCCTTTAACTTTACCTTATCTGGGAAGCACTGTATCTGCCTTTCCATTCTAAATGGTAGCTTTGCTGGATAGAATAACCTAGGTTGTAGGTCCTTGCTTTCTATGACTTTGAATACTTATTTCCAGCACCTTTGTGCCAGTCCCTTTTGAAAAGGTCCCTTTTGAGAAGTCTTATGGGAACTCCTT